AAAGGATGTAATTTAGTACTCTCTCTCCTTACAGCAATACAATGTTAACTTTTTCTCAAAAAAAAAGAAAGGAGGAGGTAATTTGGATCGCCAAGTTTTAACCACTTGACCCTCGATCTCTGCGCCCAGAAGATTTCCTCCTTACAAAGAATAGATTGCTGAGCTAATTTGGGTTCAAGGAGCATATTAAGGTCAGCAGCAGAGAGAGGCGATGATTCCTCAAGAGTATCAAGATAGAGGATTGAGTTGAAAAAATGTTGTTTTGGGGCGTGGAAGTTTCTGGGGAGGATTTAGCGCCATTCGATGAGAGTGTGCTTCAGAATATAGAGCTTTCTCTGAATATGAAAGCCCGGCCAGCCAAGAACGAGAGGGGCGAAAGAATGCCACCAAGAGGTTACCAAAGAAGGGAAGTTGGACTCTTCCAGCCAGGAGAGCTCAAAGCGAAAGGGCTTAGGGCCGAGTCCAGAGTCTATTGTGTTGAGAAGGATGGGCCTGTGGTCGGATGTAGGCTTGGGAAGAGCCACTGAGTGGGAGTTGGGAAACACGGAAACCCTATCCAGCGAAAGGAGATACCAGTCGCGTTTAAACAAAGAGAGATCCTCGAAATGGTTCAACCAAGCAAAGCGGGCCCTTTGGAGAGGCACATTTACCAGGTGGTTTCTCGTAATAAAATATGAGAAAACTAACATCGAGGAGAGAGTCTGGAGCTGGAATTCTGTTCAAAGGAGCAATGGGTAATGTTGAAATCTCCCCCAATACACCAAATCGATGGGGAGACATCAGCAATCTCTTAGAGCTCTTGCCACAAACAATATCTACAGGAAGCAGAATGTGGGCCATAAACTGCTGAAAACTTCCAAGGCAACCCATCTGAATTTCTAAGGAGAGAGATGGAAACAGAGAACTCTCTCACAAAGGAAGAAGAGAGGGAGTGCAGGGTCCCAAATTACCCAGATGCCCCCCGAGACTCCATTGGATGGTACTGCAAGCCACAGACACAGGCGTCGACCCCAAACTTAGTAAATCTCTTGTAGCGAAGGCTCTTGAAGCTTAGTTTACAGCAAAGCCAAGATAACAGGAGAGTGTTGCCGACAAAAATTGGTCGCCGAGGCCCCTAATATTCCAGGTTAAGATCTTCAAGGAAGGGAAAGACACCGAGCGGGATGCCTTCCAAAGTGTCTAGTGGTAGGGCAACCAATCGAAGGAGTCTCAGAAACAAGAGGCTGATCCGGGAAGGCTGGAGCCCAATCATACTTAATATGGCAAATAAGATTAGACAGTTCCCTTTTTCCCTTAGAAGTCAAGTTGGCTTTGAACTGGGGATCATTCTTGATAAAGTCGATCAAGATTAGACAGTTCCCATGACCTTCATAACTTTGAGAACATCGCCCTGGGCTTTTCCCAAAAATGGAATCAACCGAGGCCCGGTCTGAGGAGCTCAACAAGTCCCCAAAGAGCTAGCTTGAGAGGGAGAGGGAGGACAGCTTCTAGAAGCATGAGGAGTAGAGGCCCCACAGAAGGACTGGGGAAAAGGCAAGCTCCACTCGAACAAGGAGAGGGGAGAAAGGGGAGAACCTTGCAGAGAATTGAAGAGGAGACCCTGTGGGCTCTACAGCATGTGCGAAGACAAGGGGGGCTCAAGAGAAAGGGGACACTAGCCAAAGGGGGGCATTGGGGTTACCAGGGAGCCCAATGAAAGGAGAGGATGGAGCGGAGCAATGAAGGGTAGAAGAAGACGAGCAGGGGGGTATGAGAAGAGCAGGAGCAGAGGCTCCCAAAGAGCACGAGGAAGGGGATGGCAAGGGGATGGGGGGTGAGGAGACGGCCAAAGGGAGAGCCAGAGAAGGGGTGGGGTGGCTAGAAAGGAGAGGGAGAGGCATATCCCCAGGAGGGTGAAGGCAAGCAGGGGACACAGGGTGCACCAAAGGCTCTGTACCACGGTTGCGAAGAGGGTGAGCGAAGGCAGGGGACCGAAAGTAGGGAGGGCTCTCCCACGACAGATTTGCGAACTTTCAAGGGGGTAGTGCGAGGCAGGAGCTGCAAAGAAAGAAAGGCCAACCGGAAGCGACGGGATGGGGAGCTAGGCAATGGAGAGTTGCGAGGACCCTGGAAGTCCACAGAAAATGGTAGCCGCATGGAGATTGGAGAGGGCACGGAACTACAAGAGGAAAAGCGAGTTCGAGTGCACACTAGGGAGATGACACCTGTCGCACAAGAGAGACTGCCGCGTGCCCCTGGGGCAGCAAAGAGAGCAACATCTATGGCATAGGGAGTGTCACCACATGTCCCAAAGGAGGGGGAGGCTGCAAAACGGCAGGAGGTACAACAGGGGGAAACGAAAAGGGGTGGGGGTGGGGGTGGGGGTGGGGGTGGGGTGGGGGTGGGGGTGGGGGGGGAAGGCGAAGGTCAATAGCGTCGGCTCAGTAGGCAGGAGGACAACGAAGGCAAGTGGAAGACGGCTTTTAGGGCTACTGACGCGACCAGCAGCTGAACTGACTAGGGCTTTCGTCGGAAAATGGCGAGGACGGCTGCTTCTGAAGTAGTTCCTTCTCCAATACCATTTTCTCCGGCGCACCTTCATCCATCCATCTGAAGAAAACGAGGGCTCGAGAACATCCCTATCTTCCCTAAGGGGCCTCGAGGAAGAGAGTACCTGAAAATGGCGTGTTGAAGGCGGCGAGGCGGGAATTCAGGCCAGGTGGACCCTATAGAAAAGGCCATTAGACGAAATCCAGGTAGCTTCCGAGATAAACTCCAGAGAGATCACTTCAACAACGAGTTGGATAGATCCGAGGGGAAGGAACTCTAAGTATTTCCAATGGATGCTGATGAAACCCCCTACTGTGTCACTGCTTGATTAAAAGTTATTGGGTTGCAAAGATGGAGGGGAATGTTGAACACCCGCAGCCAAATATGGAGAGGGAAAAAAGCTCCTAGGCTAGCGTTCCATCTTGAGATGGAAAGAGATGCTCCTTTCAAGGTTGGCAAGGAATATCTCAGTACTTGAGTACACGCCTCCCGGGAGGGGAAGCAAAAGAGAACACCCCTCTTTGAAGGGATCGGCATCCGATGTTGGGATCATTCCAAGTTTGTTAAGCCCATTTTTCTGTGCCACGCAAGTCTGGTCTGGGGGGGTTGAAAACACCTACTAGAAAGTTGAGCAGAGCCACGGCAGGTTGGAGGGAGTTGTCCTGGACACAAATGACCGAGGACCCGATCAGCAATGGTGAGAGAGGAGGCCCAAAAACGCAGGAGGAGGGAGGGAAGGGGGGCGAAGGAGGGGGGAAGGTGTCATTGGATGGGTGGTCGTGATAAAGCTGAGCGAAGGAGAGGGACTGAGCCAGTATGGAAAGGGCCGGCTGGGAAATAGCAAGCAAGCAATGGGTCGGCATCATAGTTTCGATCAGTGATGCAGCCTGTGGAATATTAATAAACTCCTCGTCACGGGAATATCAAATTTCCCAGGTGGTTGTTTGCAGTTTCAGGGGCAGTTGGTGGTAATTGCCACCTTTTCTGATTCCAGTACTGCTTTGACTGGACAGCTAAACCCAAAATGAACAAGCAATATACGGAGACACATCACACTCTACCACCTCATTAAAAAGACATAGAATGAAAAACAAGATCGGAAAAGAACACTGCACAAGGACTCTTATCTTCCACTTACCATATCAAACTTTTGTACCATACCTAATGCACTTCACCTTTTTCATCACCCACCACAAACTCATTGTGTTGACCACATCACCCATATTCAATTCGAGAATAGGTAGACAATGTATCCTCATGCCTCATGCTCCTAGAACTCTTAAATAACCTCTTGGTTTCCTGTTTATGATGATGGAAAAGAATGATGTCATACAAGGATGCCTTCACGGAATCTATAACCCCTCAAAGATCCATCTGCTTTAGACATGATTTAGATATTTCCAAACCACATGATCACATGCCTTAATTCAAATTAATTTTATAAACTCAAGTGTACTTGGGTTTAAGCCTAAAGTAAAAAACCTCATGAGCACCCAAGCACTGTCGGGGATATGAGTACCTTTCTTTTACAGAGACCCAGGCTTGGTAAATTTTTGGTCTAATGCCTTGACATAAAGGTGGTTTAGGTAACATTAATCCCTAAGTTATTAAGATAATTCCCTTAATTTTATTGGGTAGCTAGGAAGGGAGCTCTCTCTTCCGTGAATGTATCACTAGGTATATTACATGGATACTTATGTTTGGGTGTTGTAACCGCGTCAGACATATGATCCGGATTCTTAAGAGTTTGAATTCTTCTCGTTTAACTATGTATGGACTACATTTTAAAGACTTCATCTTCCTTCTTGTTTCGAGTAGACACTTATAAACTTTGAGAATATCAATGGGTTCATCCAATTAAGGTATAATTAACCTTCTTCACACCATGAAACTGAAGATTAGTTACAATCGTTGGATTTAATTCTGTTTATACCATAGCCGTGTCTCCAAATCTTGTTCTCCATGACATGAGGAATCTGTCGCCATTTACTTGTGTCCAACAATGACACATGTATACATGGCCATAAAATATACAGGTCATGAGGTTTCGCTCAGAAATCACTGAATTGTTAATGCCATTCAAGCAATCCATGTACCTAAAGGAGGTAAACAGAAAATAACACACCACATTGGGTATACGTAAATTTCGTTCTGCTTTTATGGGAGTTATGCCACATAGGCATACTATCTCTTGATGTTGTTTGTACATGACTACTTGTCTCTTAATTTAGTTATGATTTATATAGAAAAAGATAAATAGGTTGCCTACAAACATAATGCTATTCAAAGAAGACCTCATTCAACTTTCATTTTCTTCTTGGTAAGCGAAAACTAAAGTAAGTTCCCCCACTATTAATAAGGATCCTGAAATCAGGACTTCAGCAAGAGTATAAATCACAATTAGTGAGATGAAAAACATCTTCACATGTGATGGCATCCTCAAGAAAGAAAGGTGAAAGAGAAACGGCTACCTTATTTAAATAGTTCATCTGAGTCACCACACACATGATTACAACTAGAGTAAAAGCCCACGTTTGAGGATATATTAGCTGATTCATTCCAGAAAATGTCAACTTCAGAGCAATTCCGAGAGCTTTAACACTCATGACCTGCCATTACAGAGAGGTCACAGGTTATGTATAGGAAAAAGAAAGACAGGTCTGCAAAACACCACAAATTATGGAGATCCATTCCAAGAAGAAGCCTAAACTCAACACCTACCGAGAGAGATCCTACAAGCGAACAAACCCCAATATACACCATTATATGAGTCTGCCCATAAAGTGGGATAAAATGGAATATAAGAACAAAAACAGCTGCCATAACTAAAGCCGCATAGAGAAGAAAAGCTGCCAAAAACAAACATAACAGTCAGCTCATCAAAGTAATGCCAATAACCGCCATAAAAGAATTATGACATAAGCATGATGCCATATACATTGAATCCCAATTTCAAAAAATTATATAACTAATCATGGGGAAGAAAAAAATTTGTCTTTCCCAGAAAAAAAAAATTACCTGGCTCAGTGGCAAGATCCCATACTTCCTTCACAGATTCAATCTCCCGTTCTTGAGGAGCATGTAGGACAATGGTTGTTGAACCCACAACACATAGAACACAGCCAAGAATCCCAAATATATGCAACCTCTCACGTAAAATAATGTGTGCAAGTGCAGCGCTGAAAGAAAATGTAACAGTTAAGAATCCTGAATCCTGTTAATTGTTTCATGGAGAATTTGATTCAAATGTTATTTGCAAACCTGATAATTATGCTGAGTGCACCCAAAGGAGTGACGAGAATTGCTGGAGCAAATGCATATGCTGCAAAGTTGGCAATTTCTCCAACGATCACTGTTACATTTTTATCATCAAAATCTATAGCTTGGAAAAATGATTTGAACTCAATATAAGTCCAAGAAACCATAGAAAAAATCAAGGCCACAGAGAAGGGGTAACTTCCAGGTGCTTTGAAGCAAAACAACCGTACTCAAGAAGCTTGCAAATAAAATAACAAGATGAGCTCCTTTTACTAATGCAATATAGTGAACTTTACTCAGGAAAAAATAACAAGATAAGCTCGACTACAGAACAGCAATATATGCATACTGCAGATAACATTGTTCTAAATGTTTAATACTCTTAGTTAACCCTTCACAAGTGAAAGAAGAAAATGGTCTCTAGTGAGAACTAATATGAACAATGTCTACAAGCAAAATCAAATCACAGGCATGCAAGCCAAGTGGGAAAAAGGTAAAATGCCTTAAGACGTAATTAGCCCAAAAATCCAGCAGGTCGACCAGGAACTTTCCCAAGTTGACAAGACCCAGTTAGTTGGGCCTCAATTTCTTTCGGCCCAAACATGGTTTAGTGCTGTTAGGGCAGCTTTTTAGGTGAAGGACCATTTCTGGTTGAGTGCTTCCTCTGCATGCCACTTTAGAACCCCAAGTAACTTTTTGTGGGTGAGACGAAAATTGAAAATATCAGTTTCACCCAACTTGCAAAATGCTGCATTTTTTTGGAATGCTAACCATAGTCTAATCAAAATATAAGTAGCATCCAAACAGGGGGTTACAACATCATGTCTCACAAAAACCAAAAATTTCAAGTTTTGACCTAATCCTAGCTGATTGATCAAGTTCACTATGGATAGGACAAATCATTTTCTGCGTTATTTCAGGAAAAAATAGTCATTGCAAATCCTTTCAAGTTATAAAGTCTATTCTATGGCATATATAAGCAAACTTTTTTATTGTGAAACTTTCGATTTTGATTGACGCTATGATGGGCGATGAATAAGTAACTTAAAATGTATGATAAAAAAATAATAAACCATGAACGAGAACTGCATGTCTATGAGAATTTCAAATTTGGATTACATATATAGGACTTCGGGGACTAGTTTCTAGAATATTTATTCTAAAAATTATGAAAAACATGCGCTTTGACCCACCAGGTTGCCAGCTCAACCTAACCTATCTACCTAGCAAAACTACGTCTGGGTCTAGGTTTTCAGCTCTCTGAGCAACGCTCACAAAATCGAACCGGAACGGTTAACCAGTCATGAGGCTGGGAGCGGTTCGAACCGGAACCGGACTAACCGAAGCGGTAAACTGAACTAACCAGTCAAGTAGATTTTTTTAAAAAAAATGGGTCAAAATCCCCAAAAAAATTAAAAACAAATAGAAAAACTTAGATTAAGTATACACCATCATATTACATACATTTATCTTATAAAAAAATTTGATACAACTTTTTATATAATGTAATATTTGAATATTATGAAAGTATGCAAGACAATTTATAATTTGACATCAATTCAATGGGTGAAGTTACAAAGTCCAACTAACAATGGATGATGCAACAATATATGCTTCTATATTGTTTTAATGTTGACGTTGAAAAATGTTGTTTTAATGTTGAAAATTTAATCCGGTTTAGAATTGGGTTTGAGAGTGTATTTTTTTGTAGCATGATGTTCCCAGCTTTTCGAAGGGTTGTGAGTCAAGGTAGTAAGAGAGAGCACCTCATTTACTTAGTAACTTGGTTATCAAATGCAGGGTGTGGGTCAAGGTGTTAAGTGCTGCTTCAAATGGCCAATTCGCATATTTTAAAAAAATATGGCAGAGTCGATTTTCAAATGGCCAAATCGATTTTGAAATGACCAAATCGTTTTTGAAATGGCCAAACCTCATTTACTCAGTAACCTTTTGAGATGGGTTTTAACGAGAAAAAAAAAATTTACATAAGATGGCAACTTTAAAATGTAGAATTAAGATGCATATTTAAATAAATAAATAAATAAGCAGGCTAAGTTTTTATCTATTTCAGCATGTGGAAACATGAGAGATGAGTAAAACACTTTTTAGTTTCTACCTCCTTTCTTCATAGAGGCTAATAAACAGATTTAAGGAGTATGAAGTTGAAACAAACGATAGAGAGCTTGTAACAAATAAAAAAACAAATTATAAGAAAATGTCACAACTAAACAGTAACATACACCAAAAATAACCTTAAAAAGACAATATTTTTCTCATATTCATCACAAAATAATATTTTTATAAAAAATTATATAAAACATAAAAACAATCCAACAAGCTCACCAAAAATGTATAACATTAAAAAGAAACAAATTTTTTCCTCATATACATCACAAA